AATTCAATAGTTGTTGTCTTAGAAGAGTTGTGCAGTCATCACCACAATCAATTTCAGAACATTTTTTCCTTTTACTCATTATTAGTTCCCCATTTCCCTCTAACTTATAGCATCATGGAATTCTTAATTGCAAAATTTTTAATCTTAAGATTATTTTATCTATTGCAATGGCTTTCAAACTTTAAGAGTCATCAGAATTATCTGGGTAGCTTATTAAAATGTAAATTCCTACCTTTAGAGTTTCGGATGTAGCACGCCTAGCATGACGTCTAATGAGAATTCCAATTTTAACAAGTTCTAAAGTAAAGCATATGTTGCTGACTTCTGGGCCATACTTTGAGAACTTATAGACTAGGTGGGAGACGGGATCCACCTGTAAGCTGTAGGTCAGTGAGAGGCCAGCCATCTGTAAGATGTCAGTCCATTTAGTATTGTTGGTGGATGGAAATACAAAGAATCAATCTTACATGCAATGATGAGGAATAAAGAAAATGTATTTCTAAATTCAAATCAACTCATATTTCCCCTAATTAGTAGACCTGGAATCCAAAATTTCTGCAATGTAAAAGGGATCTTCATAGGAAAAGTTGTTTGGATATGTTTGATGGAATCTAATCCCTCATTTTATAGATGAAGGAATTTTGCAGGAAAATGGAAGTGATAAATATAGCCACTTGGGACTTTTGTTTGAATATGAATTAGTGGAATCTGAGAGTTCACACTGGTATTCAGAATGACCCATAGAGAAATGTATAAAACCTTCTTTACCTATATTCTGAGAAATACAAATTAATCTGCAGCAAACGCTCTGCTACATTACCCGAGTAGTTTATGATTTTCACTACAAACATGCCAAACCCAGGGCCACTGAGTGTGTTCCAACTCATAGTGACTTTACAGAAATGTAAATGTAACTAGAATCCTAGGCTTTATACATTAGATTTGCCACATTTAACCTTAAATACTTGGGTTTATACATTTTAGAAGTTGGCTGAATCGGGTGTCTTGTGCATTGAGCTATACTCAGTTGATTTGGTTTTGTCAGCCATAATCCCTTATGTGATATATTAATTCTGGATTTCGTACATTTGTGGTCCCATTTTGGAGGGCGTTATTTGCTAACAGGAATGAGATGAGATTGAGTTTTGACCTTAGAAAAGTGTGCAAATTGGGTCACACTCTTGGATTAATGGCTATCTTAAGTTACTGTTACTTACAATGGATGTAAAGATTCTATTCTATATCTGAAATGAGGAAGAAAACTGTTTTTGGACTGTCCCTGGAAATAGCCTGGCTGATTTAAGATTAGTAGGAGGCCAATGCCAACTAGAAACATCTTGCCAGAGGTGTACAAATAAGATGCAGTCGAAGGGTGGAGAATAGATTATTATATTTGGATGAAATGTGATTGCACCATGTAACTCCCACCAAAAGACATTTCCCTATATGGGTCTGGTAAGAAGGTGGGGAGAGATACTGATAGGACCCACCAGTGAGTAATTGTGAACAGGATTCCCTACAATGCTATTCTGCTGAGTCTACTGAGAAGCAGAGTGTGTGAGCTCATCACTGCCAGCAGTCGGAGTGGAGTGTGTCCTCTGGCCTGTGGACGCCTCTGCGTAACCTTTGGACTTTGAACTGAACTGCACCCACCACCAAGTGAGATATTTCCTTGAATTGTCATGAGTTCTATGGGATATTGCAGTGCTCTGAAAACCTCAGAGATGGGAGGGAATGTACTCAAGGGAGGAATGGGGAAAAGAAGAAGCAGACTCTCATCTTGCAAGAGTTGAACTTTGGGACTTTTTCAATATCCAATTTATTGGTACATGTTTGGTATTAATTTTTATAAAAGAAATTATTACTACATGTATAATTTTTCCATGGTAGTAAAAGTATAGAATACAATATGTAAACAGATGAAAACTCCCTTTTATTTTTAAAGATGAGTTTTCATTTCATATGACTTTTTTACTTCGACTTTCAGATACATGTTATAAAGCCAGTTTTACCGAAGCTAAATAATTTGTTTGAATATGCAGTGTCAGAGGAAAAAGGTATGGTTACTCTTATTTTAATTTTCTTTTATAACAGTTTACAGTTTTAGCCCCTTGATTTTATAAGTAATACCTATGCATTATAAAGAACTTGGGAAAACATACAAATGTAAAGAAGAAAATATGAATCGTCTTGTAGTACTGCCACCAAAAGATAATCCTGTTAACATTTCAACTGTATGTTGTTGTAGTGATCGGTACTGCCATAACGAAATAAGTACTACAATTAAAGGGCAGATATTTGTTTTCTCACAGTTCTGGAGGTTGCAAGCCTATATTATATATACAATCAACAAGGGATATATAAATAGCTATATAATAATATATCTCAGCCATGTCAGTTCCTTCTGAAGCTCTCACTCCATGTATCTGCTGTCTGCCAGTCCTACTTGGTGCTCTATACTTATAGATGGGTCCTCACATGGTGTTGTAGTGTCTCTCTCTACCTGTGTGTGACTCTTGTATATTCTGTTTTGTTTTATTTCTTTAAATATGTTTTGGTGAGAGTTTACATAGCAAATTAGGTTCCCTTAAACAATTTCTGTACATAATGTTCAATGACATTTTTCATACTATATCAGTCTTTTTTTTAGTGTTTTCTTGATATTCACATAAAATGCACTTCCATGTTTAAATCACTTTTAAAAAGCAAGAAGGAATACAACAGCTACTTAGTCCACACAGAAGTACAGAGGGCTCAGTTCAATTCACTTTCCTGGAACAGTTAATATACCAAATGTCCTTCAACTCATACCAGCTGCTGGTCCAAGGTCAAGGAAGCAGACCTCGGAATTTGCCCTCAGACAAGACGAGCAGAGTCAGTCCTGATACAGCAGGGTGGGGTGACAACAGCAGGAAGATGAGAAGTTGAGGTGTAGCAGCTGCCAGTAGCGAGGGCACATAGTGAGGCAGGTCCTAATGGAGCCTCAAGTTCTAGTGATGCACACATGGTGACACTATCCACTGGTTGGCCCGGCCCACAGGTACGTGCAGCACACAGTTGAGGCAAAGGATTAACTGGTGCAGCAGGACACTTGTTCAGTCTATTACCAGGGAGAAAGAAAAAGAGGGAGGCTGGCCTCCAATCAAGTTGAGACCTAATTGACAGGCTAAACTTCACCCCCATGTTCCTACAGGAGCCATGTTGGAACAGGAAACCTAATTATCACACTCTCCCTATCTCTCACCCCACCCCTCCACATCTCGGATAGACTAATCAGTTACTATCTCTGTGCATCTATACCTTCTATGCTTCACAAACTGGAAAACCCAACAGTAATAATAAAAAACAAAGTAAAATGGCAAAAATAAAGCAATTTTATAAAGATTAAAAATACAAATAGTAAGAAAGAAAACACCACCATCAATATTTTAAAAGCCAGGGAAGAAATTTTTGTCATAGAAGAAGCAAGAAATACTTGAGCCTAGATCAAATTCAGGTTGGGTCAAGAGGGAGGTCAACTGATCAAGTGTCAAATTATACCATGTTCGATTCACCATAAACAAGTTTACAATAACCTCTGTCTGATAGTAAAGTTGTTTGAATCCTTTGCCTTTGTCTAGAAAGCATCTGCCAGAGGCTTAATCTATCTAACTAGATATTCAGCAGGTGGATTTTGGGCACCCATTGTCCTCCATAGCCTTCCACAAATTGAGTGTTCAAAACTTAAGCTTTGATTATTCTAGCCTTTTTATAAGACTCCTTTTACAACTGATAAAGTTTAGGGAACTGTATTCTGGTATGGCCTCATTAACAAATGAAAATCCTGATTTCCAAACAAGGTCTTATTTACAAGTATAGGAGATAGGGTTTCAAGACATTTTGGGGGGATGCAATTCAATCCATAGCATAGAAGTGAGCTTAAAAAAAAACAGAATTAAAAGATAATTGAACTTTCTACAAAATTTTTGAAACCCCCTTGTACATTATCTAGATCATATGACTCACAGTATTTTATCTCAATGAGCAGTATATTTACTACAGTTATCTGTTAGGATATCTTTTGAAATGGATATAATTTAAAGACCTGGTTCATTTTTAAGACTAGAGATTTAATTGCTTTCCTATGTGAAATTGCCCTTGTTTTATAAGGAGATTAAAAGTCTAGCAATTGGTTATCAATTTTTCCCATTCTGGTTATCCTCCATTACCTACTTTTGATAAATCCAGGTCCATTTTAGTATCACTCTTAACTGAACTGGTTTGAAGTTCTGAATTAACTTAGATAACTGGATTTTACAGCCTATTCTAGATAATACAACTTTAATAGTTTAGATTCCTAGGAGTAGAATTTTATGTAGCTGATTTTTGTTTCCTGCTACACTGGGATTTTTCACACACCATAAGAATCTATAGGCCCACCTGGAGCTAAAATTAAGTTGAATCCTATTGTGACTTCACTTATACAGTTAAGTGAAATTTAAGTGCTGTTTTATCATGCTTTGTCCACAGCTCTTGGTAAACCAAATCACAAAGCAATAACTACTTTTGAAAAACTACCATTTACAAAGAATTAAGCATCTTATTGTGAAAATTACAAATCTATCAATTTAATAGAATCTCATGAGTGAAAAATGCTTGGAAATTTTTTTCTAATAGAATTAAAGGGTAGTTCAAGAATCAGAAAATACACTTTTATTCCACCTCTAGTTTTTTCACTTTTTCGTGCATTCATTTTGTAGTTATTTACTTATATACCTAATGTATGCTAAACATTGAGATAAAGTTATAAGACAAATGTGGTATTTTTTCCATTGAATTTCGTTGATTTTTCCACAAAGAAATAGAAAACTCTTGATTAGATAGCATTTCCTTGATGAAGTAAACACAGGGCTGAAAAATTTACAGTGGGGCCGGAATTTAGTTAAGGTGACCAATTAGGCCTTTCTTAGGTAAAATATCTGGGCTTAAAGTTCCAGGCTGAGAAAGGAACACTGTACAGAATCCCTGAGATGAGAAACGGCTTAAAAGGATAAAAGCAACAGCATTATAGGAGTCAAGGGTCTGCGCATGCCTTGCAGACCATGGTAATGAGTTTGGGCTTAATGCTAAGAACTGTGAGAAATCATTTAAGTGTTTTAAACAGATACAACAGTTTCAGATTCAGTACTTAAGAATATCATTCTCTCTGCTGAAACCATCCTAGATCTCAAGTTCTAACCTGCATGTGTGGGGAATATTTAATTGTTGTGTACTATAGCAGCTACAACATTTATGTGTAGTCTTTTTATTAAATGAAACCGTATTAATACTGAAGTTTATTTTTATTGTTTGGTAATTTAAGATCTTGGATAAGATTTAAATGAACCCCAATTGGGTAGTGTTATTTTGAATTTAATGTTTGTATATATATGTATCTATTGATGAATATATCATCTATGTAGGGACACATAATATAAGAGGCAAATGTTATCATTAGATACTTTTTCCTACAGGATTTTGGCTCGTTCATCCATCCTGGCTTATGTGTATTTATAAAAGAATGTTGGAAAGTGAAAATAAAATCCTCATCAAAGAAGGTGTTATACATTTTTTTGAGCTCTATGAAACAAAAGTTCTTCCATTTTCACCAGAATTTTCTGAGGTAACGATAGCCTGTTCTTTTCCTTGACCACTTTTTCAAAAGATGAAAGGTGAAAGCATGTGTTGTATCACGTGTCATCTTTAAAAACATATGCTAAAACAACAACGAAACAAGCCTCATGGCAACCTGCTGTGTTTGAGTAAAACTGCTCTAGGGTTTTCTGTAATCTTTATGGAAACAGATCATCAATCATTTCTTCCACCGGGTGGGTTTGTAGTACCAACTTTTAAGTTAGTAGTTGAGTGCAAACCATCTATAGATATATGTCTATATATCTATATGTATATAGATATATACAGGGGCTATATGTCTATAAACCAACTGAACTTAGTGCCATTGGATGAATTCTGACTCATAGTGACCATATAGGATAGGATTGAATTTGTTTTTGAGGCTATAGCTTTATGGCAGGAGAAAGCCCCATCTTTTTCCTGTGTAGCTGCTGGAGGGTTGGAACTTCTGACCTTACGGTTACTAACCCATCATGACATCAGGGCTCCTTACATTCTCTGTGTATGTAACCTTACTGCCATTGAGTCAATTCCAACTCGTGTGTACAGGACTCTAAAATTACAAATAACACTTGATTTGTATGCAGTAAATCCTATTATCTCTTATCATATTTAGGAAGAGGTTTTATATAATAAAGTAGCTGATCTGATCTGCCTGCATCATTAATCATCGTGGATAAAGAGTTCTGGGCTATTAGTATTTTAAACAACAAAAGTCAAGGGTTGAAATCTGTAGTGTGGATGCGTTTTAGTGATGCTGTTACCATAGTTTTGAATCACTAAATTATTGTCATTTGTTCAGAGATGCTACTCCCCCAGTTCTGAGGCAGTGAATTATTTATGGGTTGGGCTGCTAATCTCAAGGTCAGCAGTTCAAATCCACAAGCTGTGCTGCAGGAGAAAGATGGCATTTTCTGTTCTTGTAAAGTTACGGTCTTAGAAACCCAGAGGTGGGGCAGTTCTATCCTACCTTATAGGGTCACCATGAGTCAGAATTAACTCAACAGCAGTGAAGTTTTTTTATGTCATTTTACTTTATATTTTATATTAAATAAAGAACTCTGGTGACCTCACAGACTCGCAGGGTGTATTAGACTGGGTTGGCTAGAGAAATCCAGAGACAATCATGTATAAGAAAGAGCTTTATATCAGAGTAATTGTGTGTTAAGAAAATACCCCAGCCCCAGTCCAGATCAAATACATAAGTCCAATATTAGCCTTTAAGTCCATAAATTCCTCTTTAGACTCATGCAGCACATGTAATGATGCAAAATTCAGGAAGATCACATACCAGTAGGTGCAAAGTCTTATGGAACCAGTTGTGGTGGAAACCTCTCCATGGCTGGCGTAGGTCTCCATGTGGCTCATTAGAGGAAGGTGAAGGCAGAGAGAGAGAAGTTCCCAGGATTCTCCTTATGAGAAGGACACACCAGGAGGTACTCTCAGGCTGTGACCTGATAGACAGACTGGACTCCACTCCTACACTTTATAGATACAAGTTGACAAAATCATGTAACTATCACACACATAATTTTACTCTGTCCTTGAGGACTGTTGAGTCAGAATTGACTTGATGGCAGTGAGTTAGTTTGGTTTGTTAGAATCACTTAAGTGTAGTAATTTACCTCGTAGAGGTAAAAGCAAATTTTCCTAATTATCTGAACACATGCTACAATAATGCTTCCTTCCAATCTTTGCTTCCTTCCACTGGCTCCTGGCTCCTTTGGCCAATATTTAGTAATAGTTTTGGAAATACAGGTTTTTCTGTTTTTATCTTCCAGGCATAAGGGCTTACTTTCCAAGTATCTTTTTGCTTTTTTGTTACTATTTTTATTTCCCAGCATGTGTTCCTATTTCAGGTTCCCTCTTTCTTCTAGACCCAACAGATGAACGCTTCTGACAGTGCTTTTTGTTCTTAACTGGTGGGAAAATTTTGTTGTTTGTACTCATTTTGTTGTTTGGCTCAAAGTATGGGATCACCACTAAATTAATGCAGTGTTAACAGGTCAGGTTTGCCTACAGCAGCTGTTTCACAATCATGTTTACAATGTGTAGTCAGGGCAAGACAACTTTTCAAAATTACAGTTATAACAATATCAATTATGTAATTTTTTTTTTTAGTTTATTATTGGACCATTAATGGATGCACTTTCAGAGAGCACTTTGTATAGCAGGTAAACTTGTTATTTAGCTGTAATATATATTTGTATGCAAATTTGTTATGTTTATGAAAGTGATTAGATTGTATTTGTTACATCATATAGATGCCACTTAATAAACATGCAACTCTTTCTTACCATGTGGTCCCAGCTGTATTTGTTATTTTTCTTGACTTCTGTTATGTGCATCAAGTGCCCCTCCTTTCCTGGGATTCTTGTTTTCTTTCATCATTTTGAACCCTTCTATAGTTAAGGTTGGATGTTAAATCCACTAGTCATTCTGTGGGAGAAAGATGGAACTCTCTGCTCCTATCAAGATTTACAACCTTGAAAACGTCGCCATGACCTAGCGGTGGCTCCATGGCAGTGAGTTTGGTTTGGTTAGTTCTGCTAAGGCTTTTATCAAGTGTATTTTATACTGACATTGGTGCGACAAGTTAAAATCCTCTCTCCCCCTTTTCTTTTAGCTATTAAAATTTGACTTAATTTTAGAGCTATGGGAAAGTTAGGAGAATGATCTCATTTTCTTGCATCCTTATTTCTCGCTTGCTTGATCCCTGCCACCTTCCCTGTGTGTGTACATCTCTTGTTAGCTTGTCTGCTGAACAGCAGATATACCCACACACTTTTATATCTACTTTCATGACTACCTACTCTAGCTGTCTAGCTATTCTCAGGCTCCTGTCTGCAGTCACAGAAACTACCTTTCCATATTTGACAGTGGCCCCCCTTGTCCATAATTCCTTCCTTACCCCTTTACCCTTTTGAAAACATTGACAGTGAGAAGTTGTTAGTATTGTGTCTTTACCACACTTTCTTGAGTCTTCTGAATTTTTCCCTTCTTTTGGAATTGTCTTTTCAAATATTAATTAAATTTATACTTGTATCTTCTATTGACTATGCTTCTAAGCAAACAAAATAATACTACCACCCTCCACTCTGGGTAAATTTCTTTAATACTAAGTTTAAAATATCTTATTGACGCAGTACAGTTTCTTCAACAAAAATTGCAGAAAGCATTTACATTTACTTCCTACCATTTTTGTTGACTTTTATCCATTTAGCAAGGCAAATGTATATCCAAATTCATTTTCCTTTAAGCTTCCTAATCTTGAATCTCTATGGATATACGTCAATTTGATGCAAATGTAAATTGAGTATTAATCTCATAAATGAAATGATTCATTTATGACAGCTTTGCTTCAGTAGTAAGTCTAAATGGAGTCGAGAATTTCTCGGAGCAAACCTCAAATGTAAAGATAATGCAGTGGAGATTGTTATACTGACCAACCCAAGTGACCCTTCTATACTCGAACCCAGTATCTCAAATGTTGTATAATGTTAATAATAAATTTTATAAAAATATATAGTATCACATAGTTTCATTGTAAAGTTAATAGTATATAATTGTTTAAAATAAGCTTTGTTTTCTTTTTTTTAAGAAAATGTGATTGTACATGAATTCAGAGACAGGTATATAAGAAATGTCTGCAAACTTGTTAAAATGTTTTATTCATCTGTTATGTTAATATTTAGAACTGTTTAATAACTATTGAAAGAATCTAGAAATGCTTGATTTTCTAATTTGTTTTTAAAATGTTCATTAATATTGAATTGTTTTTTGCATAATTCGACAACTAGAGCACAATAAAGCCATTGAACAGAGCTTGGTCCTTCCTAAAGAGTTAATAAACACATCATGAAATGCCTATTTTCTAGCACTCTAATGTATTCAATTAACAGATAATGTGCCTGGCTCTAGAAGCCTGTAGCAGGAAAAAACACGATTTTAATAGATATTAACAATTAAATGTTCTTGCAAAGATAATTTGTTCCTAATATGTTTTTGTCAGGAATGTTTTAAGCCTAAAGATTTAAAACCATCAGATTATATGTTTAAAACAATTAAATATCATTTAAAATGGTATCTTTAGGCTACTTTCTTGATGTTATTTAACAAGATTTATATACATGTAAATGTGAGGAAGGCTTTTTGAGAAAAAAATTCTATATTTACATAGTATGGGTTATTAACTTACCATATATACTCATGTATAAGCCGAGGTTTTCAGCACGTTTTTTATGCAGTAAAATTAGGTGCCTCGGCTGATATTCGGGTCAGCTTATACTCGAGTATATACGATATATCTATTGTCCTAAAAGACTGTGTATCTCAATAGGCAGATGGTTCCTCCAAATTTTACTAGAAAATAAATGCAGGTTCAAAAATAAAAGATTATCCCATTTGTCTTATTGTTGAAAGACTCAGGGTCTAGTCTACTTAGAGTAGCTTCACTATGCTTCTCTATAAAAAATACATTTTCAATATTTATTTTTTCCCCTTTGTCATTAGGTCCCCAGGCCAGCTGATAGGAAGTGGTTCACCATTGGGATTGAAATTACAGAAGTTTTTAGTCACTTACATGTCTCATCTTCCAGAAGAAACAAAGAGTATGTTTTAGTCAAGTTTATTTTTTAACATAATTGCATATTATTAGCATCATGTTTATAAACAACATCCTAGACTTAACAAGAAATATTATCAAATGCTTTTGTTTTTTCACAGTATGCAAATTTTGTTCCAAATTATTCATGTGATCATTTAATTGAGTACACACTCTGCCATTGTATATAACATGTACTGAGGGACACAACCCCCCCAAAAAAACATGGATTTTTTCCCTCAAAGCTATGTATTTAAATTTTTCCCCCAAACGCTATCACCTTCAAAATACTCTACTTTACACTTAATACATTTATCAAATCTGAGATTCCAGTTTTGGAAATATTTTTCAAACTCATCTTTTGGGATGGCTGAAAACACCTCTCTTGTTTTTTCTTCACCTCTTTTATATCATCAAATCGCTGTCCCTTCATGTCCCTCTTCATTTGCAGAAAGAAAAAGTGAAGTCAGGTTGGTAAGGTGCGTGGGGCAAGAGAGTCATGCTGTTTTTTTGCCACAACTGGTGCACTGTCGTCCTAGCAAAACCGGTTAACCCATCTGCCACAAATCAGGCCTTTTTCATCGCACACTGTTACACAATCTTTCCAGAACCTCTAAATAGAAAGCTTGATTAACAGTGACCTGGTGGAACGAACTCCAAATGCAGTACAAGTCGACATTCTCATCTGTTCGGGAAGTTGACAGACATCCAGAATGAGGTTGGTCATCAGTTGACATTTCGCCTCTCTGGAAATGAGAAAGCCACTGGTACACTTGAGTTTTTCCCATAGCGCTGCCTTTGTAAGCTGTGTTCAACATCACAACAGTTTCTGCAGCATTTTTCCCAAGCAGGAAACAAAATTTCACAGCCTCATGCTGTTCTCCTAAATCGGCCATCACAAAAAACAAGGTTCAAATGAAATTGCTTTCATGAAAAAATTCGCTGTGACCAGAGAGAACTTCTCAGGCAACGCCACTGAGTGCACCAATTCAGAGTGAGTTGCTGGTTGCTCGCCTAGTGGGAAAAATGCATACTATGAAAGCTCTGCCCAATGCAATTCTGGGTTTTGGGGGGGAGTACCCTCGTATATTAGCACAAGACCAGGATACTTCATTCTGTTCGGTGTTATGAATGGCACCTAAGAACAATAACCACCATTGGTGCAAGTAGCTTAAAGTAATTTTACAAGATGCGCTGCAGTTAAACATCTTTTATAATTGCTATTCAACTTCAAGAATTAGGAAAAAAAGCTGAAGAAAGACAACCTGAGTTTAGGGGAAAAGTTGAAAAGCATTCTGACAAAGAACTGAACTTTTTCAAATTGATGCTATTTTGTTTTTATCTTATGAAGCTTTATTGGTAACAAACCACAGAAACAGTTTTTTTTTTATTTTGCTCTGCAAATACAGATATACACTTGGATTAAGTCCTGTTTTCGCTCCTGCATTTGTGAATGACTCTGCATATGAAATGTTTTTTTTTTAATTTGTATTTAATCTGCACTTAAATTGACCATTGGTAAGATCTATTTGAAAACCAGGGTAAGGGAAAGATAGTCTGTATATAATGACCTTATATTTCTAGAAAACAAATTTTTTTCATCACTTTTAAGAATTTTTGGAGAAGATAATTTAGTTCTTGGGATATTCTTTAGTTTGCTGGAATTTTATAAAGTAAGTTTCTGGGCTCAAACAATCTGGAGATTAATTTTGAAACCATGTTAGTACCTCGTAGGAAAATGCAACATGAGTAAAATAATAGTACTTTCTGGAATTTGAGTATGTGGTGTACTCAAACTTTTAATGAACATGAACTGAAAGTTATTTACATATTTTGTATAGCATAAGTGCGGTATTAGAAAAAATTAGTGAATGAGATTATTGCTAACAAAAGTGGGTAAAAAATGTTTGCTAAATTTTTACTTAGTGATTTTTTAGTCAACATTTTCTTCTGAGTATCTGCATTGTATCTAGCTTTGCGCTAAGTACTCTGGAAAATATGAAATACATTCAATAACCTTTCAGACCTTCTGAGGGTTTTTCAGTAGACATTCATTCCACAGTGATAGTCTCGAGAAAACAGACAGGCCTTTTCACTAACTGCTTAAAGGTCCGCAGCAAAACATATTGGCAGAGAGTGAAGCACTATACCTTTGTATCTTGAAATAGAAAAATATTGTGATCAGAGACTGGGAAATTAAGATAACAGCCTATGAGGAACATCTAATATCATTCTTCTCAGATACCAGAGGCCAGTTACTATCAGTTTTTTCTGTTCTATTTTTCCTTAACTTTCCTTAAATTAAAGAATGGCTTGTAATAATGAAACATTTCTTTTACCTTAAAATTTAAAGCCATATATATATAGCTGTATATCTGTACAATATAGAATACCTATGTCACTAAATTGGAATGGAATTAAAAAACTTTTTGTTTTGCAACAGCCTATTTGAGATATAATTTACATATAAAATTCAGTGGGTTTTTTTTTAAGTATGTTCACAAAGTGTGTGAATTTCCCATGTAATATCAGAATATTTTCATCACCCAGAAGAGAAACCTCATAACTATTTGTAGTTACTGCCCCTTTTCTCCACTTCCTAGTCCTGACAGCCACTGATCTCTATCTCTATAGATTTGTCAATTCTGGATATTTTGTGTAAATGATATAATGGTTTCAAGGTTCATCCATGTGTAGCATGTGTCAGTACTTCATTCCATTTTTGTGGCAGAGAAATACTCCATTTTATGGATATACCACAGTTTATTTACCAGTTTATGGATATTTGGATTGTTGCTACCTTTTGGCTGTTTTGAATAATGCTTCTTTGAATATTTGTGTACAAGCTTTTACATGCACATCACATTTTCAATTCGTTTGTTCATATACTTAGAGTTGAAATTTCCGTGTCTCATGATAATTCTGTGTTTAACTTTTGGAGAAACTATGAAACTGTTTCCAAATAATTTCCTTTTTATTTAACTTGGCTTTCCTGCTTTAAATAATATACTTGATTGCTTTCACAGTGAACTTGATTTTATTGAATTAAATAAGTGGTTGCACCATTTTATATTTGCAACATGTATGAGGGCTCCAATTTCTCCACATTTTTGCCAACGCTTGTCATTGCCTATCTTTTTTATTACAGCCATTCTTATGGCTTAAAAGTATGATCGCATTGTGGTTTTGATTTTTATTTCCCTGATGACTGATGACCATTTTTTCATGTGCTAATTGGCAACCGTATATAGGTATTTATTTATTTTCTTTCAGATAGTTTTCTGTTAAAGTTTATTCAGAAAATGGCAAGTAGACACTGGTGTGCTGTTCCCATTTTGTTTCTATCCAAGGCTTTGGCAAATGTCCCAAAATGTAAAGCTTTGGGAATAGAAGGACTTCTTGCTCTCAGGTAATTTCCTGTATGTCAAACAATTATTTGCTGCAACTTTCCATTAGTAAATTTTGTTTTCTCCTCTGCTTTAATCTACAGTTAATGCTTTTAGTTGATAGATACTGGCTTTGGAATTTGTGAGCTCTTAATTTTGAACATGAAAACAAATCTAAAAAACCAGTTATTCATATAGAATTGAATTACTCATTTTAGTATAATGTGCTATTGGATTTTGACAGTTTTAAGTAAGGCTAATACATTTTTATTACATAGATATTTAGAATAGTGAAAGTCAGAAGGTAATACTGAAAAAATATTTACCAAAATATAAAATTCTTACTTTGAAAGCAGTGTGATAAAGATTTTAAACAAATAAGAAAAGATGAATGTCTTCTCTATGTAGTATTTGTAAAAGAAATTTATTGCATATGTAAATTGCGTTTCAGATGGCTAGAAAATTATAACTTTGGGATTCTATTCATAGTGATTTTCTGTTATTTTAAATTGGAAATATTACAAATCAACTTATCAATCATCATAATTGTCTTTGAAAGTAAGGAAATATGCTTTTGCTTTTTGATGCCAGGGACGTTCTTCAGTGTACTATGATCACACATCAGATTCTATTGAGAGGGGCAGCTCAGTGCTATCTTCTTCAGGCAGCCATGAATTTAGTAGATGTGGTAAGTGTGGTTTTTTTACTCATGATATTTCAGTTTGAGTCATAGTGACTGGGTGTGCAAACAAGAGGTAATATGGCATACCTGTCACTGCTACCATTAGAAAGACTATAAGATTGGCAGTTGGCTGACGTCTATAAACTTGGATTTCAAGAGGGTTCCCATTATCCTAACTAGTACAAATGGCTCACAGTGCCTAACAATGCAGTTTATGCTTAACTACTTTGCTTTTGATATCTGGAATGTTGGTACATGCTAGCCATGTACCTGGTGACATAGTGATTTTGCATTGGGGTGCTAACTGCACTCCTTTAAAAAATTATAGGCTTAGAAACCCAGCTCTACCTGTCCTATTGGGTCGCTGTGAGTTAGAATGGACTCAATGGCAGTGAGTAAAGTAGAAAGTGCCTACGGGGTCAAAAAATTCAAACCAAACCCACTGCCGTCGAGTTGATTTTGATTTACAACCACCAGAATTACGCTTCTAGCTTTCTGAAACTGTATCACATCATCTTTCTCACATGGAACTACTACTATTGGGTTTGAACTGATAGCCTTGCAGTTAGCAATCCAGGACACAACCTACTATGACACCAGTCCCTAATAAGGGTTTCCCTCAGAGACAGTACTTCTAAGGTATTGTCGTCACTTGTTGCTGGAGGAATTATGGGAGGTAGTTGGTTATGCAGTGGACTGATAACCACAAAGTTTGTGTTCTAACCTACAAGTCACTCTGTGGGAGAAGGATGATTTACTGTATCAGAAACCCAAAGGAGCCATTCTTCTCTGTTCTTTTAAGAGTTGCTGTGAATCAGAATCCACTCAAATGGCCATGTTTTTGTTTTTATTTTGTTTCTGATGTGAGAGAACTTCAGAAGTTTGGGACTGATTTCCTCCAAACTTTGCCACATGTGCCTTTTCTTTTGCTGATTTTGCGGTGTATCCTTTTGCTATAATAAACCCTAGCTCTCAGTGTGACTATGTAGTAAGTCCTCTGTGTCCTTCTAGAGAATTATTGAACCGGGGGTGGGGGGTGTTCTTGGTAACTCTTGCACAGTGGGTATGAAATTGGGAGTGGACATAAAAATGGAAACTGAGCCCTTGAAGGGCTTCTAAGTTTGCAGTCTTCCTCTGACTTGCTATCTAATTTTTATGGGATGATGTGTAATCAAATGGGCACTTAGCCTGTCCTCTCCCTACTGTTTTCAGTTAGTATCACACTGGAGGCAAAAGTTTGGAGAAGGTAAAGAATGTGCACTTCAAACATTTTCACCATGGTTTTGTCTTTTTTTTAATACAAATCAGATTTGTATAGTAATTATAGATGCTTAAAACTTTCTTCTATCTTTAAATTCTTAGATATTTGTGTTTGAATCTTTATATATGTATTCATTTTAATATAAAGTTTTTCCAAGGAGGTATGTTATCGTTCATTCGTGTGTGTGTGTGTGTGTGTGTGTGTGTTAACCAAGCCAGAGTAATACTATTGCTTAGAAGAGGTACCAGCACACTTTTTCTGGAAAGGATAATATAAATATTTTAGGCCTTGTGGGACAAATGGTCTTTTTATAACTACTCACCTCTTCCATGCCAAGAGCAGCCATGCTGCTCATTGTTACTAGCTAGTCAGAATGAAACTGCTGGGGCCTGCACCCTCCCCGCCATGTGTTCTAGATTTGACTCTTGTGATTCATAGGGTTTCCATTGGCTGGTTTTTTTGAAGTAGATCACCAACCCTTTCTTCCTGGTTTGTCGTTGTCTTAGTGTGGAAACGTTGCTGAAACGTTCTGCATCATAGCTACATGGATATGAGGTTTGTTGGTTGGAAATCGAACTTCATGTTTCCCACATGGAGACAAGAATTCTACCACTAAACTATCACTGCACCCTAGGACAACTACTGACCGTTCATAAATTGATGAGCATAACTATGTTAAAATTAAACTTTATTTAGAAAAAACAGGCTATGAGTGATTCAGCCAGCGGGGCATACTTTGCCGACCCCTGGCCTAGAGTAACTGTCTTAAGATCTGTAATTAGAATGGAATGAAAACACTTCAGTTGTTTTCCTTAATTGAAGGAGTAATTTTTGTGTCTTTGAAAAGTAATAATCACTTTTTAATTTAATTTCTGCTTATAGAATTTCTTTTTAGTATTGTGACTATCTTATGTCTGTTTTAATAACCTTTGACTTTGAGGAAAATGTTTATGAAAGTTGCTTATAACTAATATTTTCATTAAAAACACTTTTTAAAAACTCTCACCACCACCCCTTCCATTCCCAAGGAGAAAGTGTCTTTTTCCGATGTCTCAACTTTTCTCGTATCTCTGAGACAAGATGAATCCTTAGGACGAGGAACTTTGTTGTGGACAGAGGTGAGATTTGAAAATAATTTCATGATAAAACCTATGAAAAGTCTATAAAAATTGTTTATATAATTTTATTTCACTAGTAATTTACTTAACTAATATGTCACCTGTTGTGTGTTTGAATTAACCTATAATACTATTAAGATTCTTACTAAAAAGTGGGAGAGAGGAAAATGTTTCAACTAAAGATAGACCTATTTAGAAGAAATGATGTTAGCAGATCTTAATTGATTCTTCATGAGATGTACTAAGAATAATGTATGCATTACAATCTTTTTAATTGCCTGCAGTTCATTTATCCCGTTACCCCAGACTAACATTGGCTAATCCTTAGTTTTTCCTATTTTTATGTATCTAATTCATTGCCAACTTCAGATTTTTCTTAAATATATTTTCTGTTCTCCATTTCCAACCATTGCCCTTTGTTATACCCTCATATAATATTTTATTTATAATATTTTCCCATTGTGACTTCTTACCCAATAACTTGTTTTGTCTCAATCGTATTAGATCAGATTTTGGTCTGATTATTCAGTGATCAGTCTTTTTTTTTTTTTTGGCTTTATTTTATTTTAAAAACAGCTTTATTTGGCATATACTTCATATATACAATTTAATAATTCAGTCATATTAAGAGTTGTGCAATTATCACCATAATCAGTTTCAGAACATTTTCTTCTCTTACTCATTGTTAGCTTCACATTTGCCCCAACCCCTCCCCTGTTTTGCCCCTAGATCATTATTAATCCCATTACTTTCTCTCTAGATTTACCTATTATGGATTTCATATACAGAAAATCATACAAAACACATATGGGAAGGAAACAACAAAGCCCCAATAACAATGACTGAATAACAGAGAAAAACTTTAATTGAAAAGAAAGAAAATATTTTAAAAGGAAACAACTTTAAAATGGATCAAAAAGGCAATCAAATGATAAGATGTTATATTTTAACCTAACTGCATCTGCCATAATTGACTTTACAATACTCTCTGATAGCAATGTGCGGTACACATCCCTGAACTATGGCCAGAGAGGATGGAAACCCTGCGATTGGATTTTGGGCTTCCACTGTCATCTGTAGCCTTCTGCAAATCAGTGTTCATACTCTGAGCTCTAGTCACAATTCTTGAACCACACCTGATTTCTTCACCACACTTTGCTATATCACCGAAATCCCATATCTGTAGTGATCTCTTCATGAGGCCCAGCATCAAGCAGGGCCATGTCATATGAACAAATTGTTTCTAGATTGGAGCTAGAATTGTGAGCCCAAATCCATATATATATTTAGATTTAGATATGTCTCAAGTTCACTTTGTAGACATTATCATTTTATGGCAGACAACATTATAAATCATCCTCTTAGGGCATAAAGTAGTTCTGTTGATAGTGTCATTAATTTAGCCATCATATGGAATTGAAAACATTATTGAAAAAAGCAAATAGAACATGTATAGGCCAGCTCTTCAGACCATAGTATATGAATTATTGACTTGTACAGTTTACACTCTTAAGTGACTAGATACTATTTACACGAACAATGAGGGTTGGTGATGGGCAAAAATTTCAGTAATATTCATTCACAAAGGCAGAATCATGTTAACCAGACTAATGTCACAGGAAAGCAAGGTGGGCATTAAAATAGTAAACATGGCTAGCCCTGGGCCACCATTCACTGGGCACCCTTAAAGCACGAAATGGGAACCAAAGCCCAACAACTGCCAATTCCATAACCTTGAGATGCAGTCATCTGCTGCTTTTCACAGCATGATGGTTCAGTCTTAAGTTCAAGGGAGTATTTCAGTGCCTTAAATCCTGCAGGTGAGTTTGAGGTAAAGCCCAGTTCATTTAATATGGTTTTCACATCAAATACTTGTGATACGGCCTGTGAAGGATGCTATGCATCTTGGAAGAACAGAGTCCCAGTAGTCTATCGCACATGGCTAGGTCATCAGGCACATAGGAACTAGGTCAAAAGTGTTCAATTAGGATCAAAGTACCAGGCATAGTCTCCCCTTCGGGTCTACATAAGTACTGTTAACTGATTTTCCTAATGGGAGTCACTCCACCCTATTTATCCACCAACAGAAGAATCAAGTATTTACACTTCTCTGTTTGCTAGTATGCTTGAACATTTTCTTCATGTTGATTACCCTTTGTATTTATTTTGTGAAATATTTATTCCTATCCATACCTGTATTCTCTTGAGAGTTTAATGTGGTTTTTCCCCCTGCTTGAGTTAATGCTCTTTTATTATTATTTAATGGTATTGACAAGTTGTTATACATGGTCGTTTTAATTCTTTTCAGAAGTTCAGATCTGCTTGCCTGAATAGGTAATGAATTCATATGACTTGAATTATATAGTCAGAAGAGTCTTCCATTCTGCCTCTGCCACCTTGTTCTATTCTTCGCCCTGTCATCCCCAAACCCCTAGACAAAAAAAGGTAGCATATGATGTTCAGTTTTCACTAGCTTCCTTTTTTTAAAGTAACGCTACCTAGTGGTTCATATTCACCACTAATTGGGTAGAAACCTTGTTTTGTACACTTGTATAATATTGTGTGGGCGTACTCTCCTCATTACTGGATTCTTGAGTTTCCAGGCTTTGAGCTTTAGCAAAGTTACAGTGAAGAATCTTGTTGCTTTCAACTTCTGCGGGTATGTTTGTAGAATTGCTTTCTGGAAAGATAATCACTTAATTAAAGATTAAGTGTATGTGTAATTTTGCTGAATATTGTTAACATATCCCTCACAGTATTTATATGTGTTTCCTGTGGCTGATGAGACAAATTAACCACAAAGGTGGCTTACACTATATATGCCATATATACTTGAGCATAAGCCGACCCAAATATCAGCTGAGGCACCTAATTTTACCATAAAAACGGCATTAAAAATGTGCTGGGAAAGTCGGCTTATACTCGAGTATATGTGGTATTTAAGGTTTTGGAGGTTAGAGGAAGCCAAAATCCATTTCACTAGGCCAAAACCAAAGTGTGGGGGAAATTGCTTTTTCTCTGGGAACTGTGAAGGAAAAATTAATTTTCTTGGCATAGTTAGCTTCTGGAGCTGCATTCTTGGCACAAGACCCTTTTCTCCATCTTTTGTACAGAGGTGTATCATCTGCACAATTTCCTGTACTTCGGATTCACTCACCTCATCTTCTCTTTGGTGCCCACAGTTAAGTCTCCCTTTCTCTTTCTTTTGCAAGGATATTTGTGTTTACCTTGAAGGATAAAGCAGGATAATCTCCCTCAAAATCCTTAATGTAGTCGTATCTGTAGAGCCTTTTGGTTACATCAACAGGTTTCAGGGATTAGGATTGGGGTAGCTTTGGTCACCATTATTGAGCTTATAGCATGGTGAACAATGAAATGAAAAGATCATGAATTTTCCCACAAACTTTTAGAAGATTCCTCCAGTTATGTTAGTGCCTATTGTGAAATTTGGATTTTTACCAGTCTGGTAGATGAGAAATAGCATTTCAGGGATTGTAATTTATTTCTCATTTTATGGCTGATTGTGAGCATGTTTTCATTTAATATTAATTTTAAATTTTATTTTAACTTCTTAAATAAAAGGGTTCTTTATTTAATGGAAGATTTTTAAATTATGAAAGTAGAAGAGTATGTAATAGACTTCCGTGTATCTCTGTGGCATACCCTGTATTATCTGTGTCTCCAGTTGCCCTCCTCATCTTTCTGGCCCTAGTTATTTCAAACAAAATCCTGTCAAATAATTTATTTTTATAAATTTGCTAAAGGCTATAGCCTATCATATTCAACATTTTCTACAGGTGCAATTCATTCTCCAAGTTGTGCAAATATTTTTAACCTCCTTTCCCAATTAACATAAATTCACTGCCCCCTAAATTTCATATCTAATCTTATGAATTTGCTGTTGTCAATTTGACCCCATATAAATAGGAAGAGAACAATGGTCAAGGCAGTCATCCTTTAATGTTTGGTTTTTAAGACAACTTGAAAGGATATTTTTGGTTTAAGGTTCAAAGACACCAGGGGTTTATCCAGCCTTGAAATCTGGAGGCAACGAGAATTTAAAATTCTGTTCTGCATTTCCTGCCGTTTGATCAAAGATTTTTCTAGAGGATCTCTGATCACAATATTTTGTATCATGGCAAAGGGGACATTTATCTGTGGCGGCAATTCCCTTTCCTCCTGTTAGGGCTGACTTCTTGACTTCATTTTTCCTCTGATATTCCAAGTGGATAGAGACCAATTGTTGTACCTTGGATGAAATTCAGGTGGGATATACTCAAGGTCACGTTTTGGCTCTCATGAACTTGTTTTTATTTTCTTTAGCTTCATCCTGAACTTGCATATGAGCAATTGATGAATGGTCTGTTCCACAGTCAATCCCTGGCCTGCTTTTAGGTACTAATTTTGAGCTGCTCCATCATCTCCTTCTCATAGATGTAGTCAGTTTGATTTCTGTGTATTCTTTGTGGAGAAATCCATGTGTATAATTGCTGTTTGTGTTGCTGAAAATAAGTACTTGCAATGAAGATGTCTTTGGTCTTGCGAAGTTCTGTCATTCAATTTCCAGCTTCATTTCTGTTACCATGGCCATATTTTCCAACTACTGTTCTTCCTTTTTGTTTCTAACTTTGCATTCCAATCACGAATAATTATTGATTTCCTCTTGACTGCATGCTTGATCAATTTCAGACTAAAGATGTTGGTAAAATTAAGCATTTTCTTCCTAAGCTTTAATGGTTGGTACATAAATTTGAGTATTAATTGTATTGACGATTTTCTTGTATGCAGATTACATTGTACTTCAAAATATTAAAGTATTTTTTGACGAACACACCATTCTTTAATCTGTCATTCCCATAAGATTTTCTGATTCAAAATTGCCCTTACCATTCCATTTCAGCACACTAATGCAGAGCATATCAAGCTCTGTGTTTCCTTTCGTTTTTGATAACTTACGACTTTCCTAGATTCACACTTTGTATATTCCAAGTTTCCATCATTGGTAGTTGTTTGCAGCTGTTTCTTCTCATTTTGAATCATGCCCCATCACAAGTGAAGGTCTGGAAGGCTTTCTTCCTGCGACTGGACTCCACCCACAGTAGTATGAGTAGACTGTATTTTGACAAGGCAGTTCTTCCTCAGTCATATTTTGAGTACCTCTGACCTGAGGTCCTCATTTTCTGGCACTAAATCTGTCTGACAGTGTTCTGATATTCATGAGGCTCTTAGTATCTGACAGTGTCCCACTGCTGTCCATAAGGTGTTCCATGGCTAATTCCTCTCCAGTGGACATCTTACTCCTCCTTCGTAGTGTGTTCTTAGTCTGGAAATTCCACTGAAACCTGTTCATTGTGGGTGACCCTGCTGGCATTTGAAAATACCTGTGGCATACTTTCCAGCATCACAGCAGCACACAATCCAACACAGCATGACAGACTACTTTTTCTGCCTGTCTTTAACGTAGTCATGACAACAAATGGTTTATTGCTTTGTTATATACCTATGTTAAGTTACTATTACTGTGGAAGAATGAAATTTGTCTTAAGGAGATAGCATGCACTCGGGTTTTTAAAATAAAATAGTAACTTTTATTTTCTAGCTCTGTGACTGGCTACGTTTTAATGAAAGCTCTTTTAGGCGATCCTCAAATTGTAGCTCCGTTGGACTTCATGAGACATCGTCTTTGAATGCTTATGTAAAGAACCTAGTTCAAGAGTATATTAAGTCATCTGCTTGGGAAAGTAAGTCTGAGATCATTTTTATGAATTGATATAGCTTAAAATTGTAAAATAAATTAGTTTTTCAGACAAAACTTTGGGCTTAGCCAAATACATGCTGAAATGTGAATAACATATTGTAAAAATATTGCTGCTTGTACCTTATCTGTTTTAAGGACTTGAGATTTTAAATTATATGTTATAAGGAACCGGTAAGTTACCAAAGTAGGATTTGGATACTAATTTATGAATTCTGTAGTATTGCATCTTGCACAAATGTGTGGCACCTTCTCTGTGGTAGAAATATGAATGTAGGTAGATCTTTTCATACCCTTCCCACAACCCTAGAATTACAATTTTGTAAATAAGAGAAGTGAATTTATTATTGCAAAGCATTTTACAGAAAAAATCTGTTTGAAAGGATGGTTTGTCCATTTCTTTGTTTTCACCAGGTAGGTTGCAGAATCAATGTATTCACTTCTTTGGGGAAAATGTAAAATAGCATGAGAGAAGATCTGTTAGTATAGTCATTAAGATTATTTTCACATTTCTAAGTGGCAATATGGATAAATTGCCTCATTGAATTTATTTAACTTATATTCAATCTTATTTTCTTAGCTTTTATTTGTCATACATTTGTTCATCTTGTTTTTAAATCATTTTATTGGGGGCTCTTAACAGCTCTTATAACATTCCTTACATTAATTGTATCAAGCATATTTGTACATATGTTGCCATCATCATTCCCAAAACATTTTCTATTTTAGACCTTGGTAAATGCTCCTCTTTTTCCCCCCCTCCTTCCCTCACCCTCCCACCCTTGTGAATTCTTGATCAATTGTATATTATTATTTCGCGCCTTACACTGTTTGTCTCCCTTCATCCACATTTCTGTTATTCGTCTCCTTTGGGGGGTGGGGCGCTATATATATAATTGTGATGGGCTCCCCCTTTCTTCCCCTTTCCCCTCTTCGACATCCCCCTACCCTCATGATATCGCCACTCCCACTACTGTTCCTGAGGGGTTTGTCTGTCCTGAATTCCATGTGTTGGGAGCTCTTATCTGTACCAATGTGTGTTCTCCAGTCTAGCCAGATATGTAAGGTAGAATTGGGTCATGGTAGTGGGGGGGAGGAAGCATTCAGGAACTGGAGGAATGATGTGTTATATGTCAGTACTATAATGTACCTTGGTTGAATCATCCCTTTCTTTTTAACCCTTCTGGCAGTGGGACGGGGGGAGAATTTAATGTCTTGAATTTGTCTGCAACTGAGTCATTTTCAACTGCTTATATATGTAATTGTAGAAGCTCTGGTGGGTTACATGGGCAGCTAACCCCAAGGTCAGTATTTCGAAAACACCAGCTACTCTAGGAGGGAGAGAAGAAGCTTTCTTACTCCCCTAAAGATCTACACTCTTTTGAGGCACACACCATCCTTCATAGGCCACCCTAGAAAGACTTGATGTGGATACCCACTCCACTAAGTGAACTGAGCTTTTCCTCAAACGCTCCTGTATCCCTTGGACTTAAGGCTGAAAGTCCCTAGTGTGAGAAGAAGCAGATGTCAGTTAGCCAAAGTTGCATAGAACTGACAGATGTTGGACTTTGGTTCCAATCTCTTGCCTTGAAGGGTGCCCAGTGAATGGTGCCCCTGGCTGTGATATACTATTTTATAACATGTATTAATGTAGTAGGCTGGCTCTGCTGTTTTTGCCCTATCTCCAACCCCCATTGTTTGTATACATAGTGTCCAGTCACTTTTGAGTGTAATCTGTAGCAGTCAACAGTTTATGTATTGTGGTTCCTGGTTGGCCCATACTCATGATTTCCCTTTCTCAAAAGTGTTTTAAATACTATATCATTGGCTAAACTCATGACCCTACCAGTGCATAGTGGTTATGCATTGAGCTGCTAACTGCAAGGTCAGCGGTTGGAAACCACCAGCCAGCTCTGCAGGGAAGGATGAAGCTTTCTACTCCTGTGAAGATTTGCAGTGTCAGAGACTCACTGTGGCAGTTCTGTCATGTACGATAGGGTTGCTATGAGTCAGCCATGACTATGGCAATGAAAATGATGCCCCAGGAGGCTGATTGATAGTGTTCTTTAAAACAAATGGCAGTGATGTCTCAAAGGTGAACCAGAAACATATATTAGATGTTTGTGACGAGATATGAGGCTTGCAATGAATTCTAGCCCCAATCTAAGAATAATTAGTTCTTCTGACATGGCCCTGCTGTTTGATGTTTGACTTCATGAAGAGATCACTGAAAATGAGTGCTGTAGCTAAGTATGGTGAAGGAACTAGATGGTGCCTGACTATCAGAGGAATATGCATTGGGTCTTAAAGGGTCATATTCAGACAAGCAGCTATCTAAGTGAGATGTCAGTTTTAAGTCCACATGGAAGAAGCACGCCAGCCTATATGATCTAAGGATTGTAAACAATAAAGCCCAAATCAGATGGCGCGAAGAATGTCAGAGCTCAAATTTTGAACACCTGGTTTGCAGAAGGCTATGGATGATGGTGATAGCCCAAAATCCATCTGCAGATTCCATACATGGATTAAGCCTCTGATGATTCCTCTCTGACTATAGAGCAGTGGCTCTCAATGTGTGGGCGCGACCCCTTTGGGGGTTGAATGACCCTTTCACGGGTCGCCTAAGACTATCGGAAAACACATTATTTCCTATGGTTTTAGGAACCAAACACCACTCCTCTCTCTCCAGGTGGGCCTGCCCATATGCAGATACATCCACATACCTGGCATGAAGACTGTTAACCCATACTACACTGTGCTTCAAGACAAAATTTCATTTATTTGTAATTAGAAATAAATATTTCACAATATATAATTACATATTGTTTTGTGATGTTCAATTTGTAGCAATGAAAATACATCCTGCATATCAGATATTTACATTGCAATTCATAACTAGCAAAATTTGTTATGAAATAGCAATGAAAATAAATTTTATGGTTGAGGGTCAGCACATTATAAGAAACTAGTATTAAAGGGTTGCGGCAGTCCTACTAGACCAGAGGATGTACACTGGTACAGATAGGAACTGGAAATACAGGGAATCCAGGGCGGATGATCCCTACAGGACCAGTGGTGTGAGTGGCGATACTGGGAGGGTAGAGGGAGAGTGGGTAGGAAAGGGAACCGCTTACAGGGAACTATATGTGACCTCCCTGGGGGATGGACAACCGAGGAGTGGGTGGAGGGAGACGTCGGACAGGGCAAGATATGACAAAATAACAATTTATAAATTATCAAGGGCACATGGGGGAGGGGGGAGGGGAAAGATGAGGACCTGGTGTTGGGGGCTTGAGTGGAGAGGAAATGTTTTGAGAATGATGAGGGCAATGAATGTACAAATGCGCTTTACACAATTGATGTATGTGTGGATTGTGATGAGAGTTGTATGAGCCCCTAATAAAATGATTAAAAAAATAAAGGGTTGCAGCATTAGGAAGGTTGACAACCACTGATCCAGAGGGATATTAATAGGCCTGTTATCAAAGCATTGTAAAGTTGATTATCACAGATGCAGTTTGTTTAAAATGTAATATATTATTATTTGATCTCTCTTTTGACCCATTTTAAAGTTATTTCAGTTAAAAAAGTGAAGAACTGTACAGGTATGAATCCTTAGGTAAATCCCCTCTGATCATGGGACCAGGTATGTGAATATCCTTGCTGTCATGCAGGATGCACTGGAAAGTAGAGTATTGCAGAGGCAGTTTAACACTTTATTATTTGATCTCTCTCTTGATCCATTTGTTCTAGTTTTTAATATTTTCTTTCTGAGTTTGTTTTACTTTGTTACTGTTAGTTTTTTGTTAATTTTTTTCTGTATATGAAATCCAAGATAGATAAATTTATAGAGGTAACAGGATTAATGGTTCCTGGTGGTGGTACATGTTGGGCTGCGATCTGCATGGTCAGCAGTTCAAAATCACTAGCAGTTCCCTTGGAGAAAGACTGGGATTTCTCCTTTAAACAGTCAGTCTCGGAAAACCTCAGTGGGGTGGCTATGAGTCAGCATGGACTCCTTGTCAGTGAGTGAGTGAGTGTGGGAGTATGGCAGGGGAAGTTGAGAGGAAATGGGGAACAAATCACAATGTGTACAAGAATGAAGAAAAAGTTCTAAAACTGATTGTGGTGGTGATTGTAGAACTCTTCTTGATGTGAATGAAGTATTACATTATATATGTGAATTGTATGCCAATAAAACTTAAAAACCCTATAGAACATAGGGTAGTTTTATTCTATGTATATAGATAGACCCACGAGGTTGCCATGAGTGTGAGGGTCAACTGGGAGGAGCAGCAGGTGTGGGATGATGGGGTAGGGAAAAAAAAGGTCTATAGTCTTAACCCATGAGGGCAGTTCTACTTTGTACTCTAGTTTGCTATAAATCAGAATTGACTTGGTAGCAGTGAGGTGAATAATCATGGACTAGGTCTTAAGTAAACAGATCTAATTAATCAGATAGATTACTTTTGGTTCTCTTATATTTTTAATATTTATAATATATTGAATATATTTTTGGTTTTGGAAGAACTAATTTCATATGTAAGAAACAGTTGTATATGTGTGTGTTTAATAATTTTGTTTTTTAGTTCCCTTGCCTAAGTACCTTTAAATTTTCAGTTTAGTTTTGAACTACAGGGAAATTTTCAGAGTAAGTAAAAACATTTCAAAAAGAAAAAAAACCAAACATTTCCATGAGACCACTTCTCGGCTTTAGTTTTGAGGTATGAAACACATTTGTATGCATCTTAATGTGCACATTATACACTTTTTGCAAACTTTATAATCCTTGGAAAGTTAATTTCCCATGCTCATTTTATGTTACATGAAAAGTGTAGTAATATTAAAATTTGGTTTCATTTAAAGACTAAAAAACTCACATTTAAAATTGATTCCCATACCTAAAGTAGCTTTTTAGTTGTTTTTTGACTTATAACAGAAAGTTGTTTTTGACAGTGTAAGTGGTCCTCTTCATATCTTCTATTTCAGTAGCCACACTGTGACTGTCATTTCATTTTTGACATCTCCTTAGTGATGTGTTGTTCTACATAAGGGGTTGCAGCAAGTACTTTGCTCATGTTAATCTTATGCTAAGCCTCAGATGAAGATCTGTTTACTGATAATGAAACATAATAATGAAAACACAAACAATGAGATAAGCCTACCTAAGTCAGAACTGACTTAAAATGTAGTCATTGGGAAGTAGTAAGCCAAAGACTGCTATATTTATTCAGTAAATAGATATCAAGTCTCCTAAGTTTGCTAATTGCCAAGCACATGATTTATAGAGCTAAATGATGCACTCCCTTCCAGTACCCAAAACAAACCCCCTTAGTTAGTGCCAGTTTGTGACTCCGTACTCATAGTGACTTTATAGCGGATTCCCAAGACTGACTATACAGGAGTGGCTAGCACTGTCTCTCTCCCGTAGAGCAGCTGGTGGTTTGGACTGCCAGGACCTGGATAATTACCTGCACAATCTTAGTGCAGTGCCTTGGTCGATCTAAGCACTGGTAGACTTGGGGCATTAGTCCCCAGAGGGGTAGCACCTGGTAGAAGAAGATAAACGAACATATAGAGGGGGAAAGGGTATCCCACAAGGATAGATGAACTTGTATCCAGGGAGTTGAAGTAGTCAAATACATATAATAGGCTTCTAGGAGGCAGGCTGGCACATTGGTTAAGTGCTCAGCTGCTGACTAAAAGATCACCATTTTAAACTCATCAGCTCCTCCACTTGCAAAGATATGGCAGTCTGCTTCCATCAAGATTACAGCCTCAGAAATCTTACGGGGTAATTCTTTCCTGTAGGATCGTTTTGTGTCGGATTGCATCAATGGCTGTGGGGCTTACAGTGGCTTCTCTATGGAATAATTACGCATATTAATGTGTGCCATCAAGTCGGTTCTGATTCAGGCACGCTACTATGACCGTAGACCCACCCACAGGGTTTTCTAGATTACACGTTTACAAAAGCCGATGGCCAGGTCTCTCTCCAGCGGAGCAGCTGGTGGGTTTGAAGTACCAACCTTTTGGTTGGCATCTGAGCACTAAACTTTTGTGTTACCAGGGCTTCATGAGAGGCATAGGAGTTTATGTATAGCAGGGCTTCAAAAAGTTTATGGAAAAATGGAATGAAAAGATAATGAAAAAAATGTTTAAACTTTTTGTGAATTGAATAAAGGTTTACAGAAAATACTCTTAGTTTCACATTTAATAACTCATACACAGTTGTCTTGCAGATAAAAGAAAAAGCCCTTAAATTGCCTATAAAAGTCTCCTGGTGTCTCCCATACCTGTTTCTGTAGCCTCATTTTTAGTAACTTCCTCTCTATATCCACATGGGAATTATGTTTCCTGGAACACGACATGAGAGTACTTTGATGAGATTACCTTTGACTTGAACTTTCTAATATATGGAATATTGTCTTTTTTATGTAACTCATTCTTGCTTATTCTTCAAACTCTGTCCAATTGTTTCTTCATGAGAATTTTTCCATAATCCTGCTGTTCACTCTTGGCACTGTGTACTTCTCCTATAGCCCTCACCACAGTGATAACTTTAGATTTCTTTTTTATTCTTTGTTTATTGTGAAGTCCATGAGCTTAGGAACTATTGTGTTTCTAGCACCCAGGTTTAATGCATGGCATAAAGCGGACATGCAAAGATTTGCTTTATTCGTATTCATGTTGTGTTCATAGTTAAATATTAAATAGTTCATATGTAAGTAATGAGCCAAAGAAGCCCTGGTGGTGTAGTGTTGTGCATTGGACTGCTAACTGCAAGGTCAGCAGTTCGAAACTACCAGCCACTCCAAGGGAGAAAGATCGTTCTTTGTACTTCTGTAAAGAGGTACAGTCTCAGAATCCTACAGGGGCAGTACTGCCTTGTCCTACAGTTACTATGAATCAGCATCAACTCTATGGCAGTGAGTTACTGTTTGAATAATGAGCCATAGGACAGGGTGTTCTGCTGTATTTTATCACCGCTATACGATGGGATTTCAAAAGTGGGTGGGAAAATTCCATTACCTTTTAATTCTTTTTCATGAACTTTTTAATACCCAATAGGATTTCTCTAGTATTTTAATATTAATAAGGCATAATCTCTAAGGTGTATTGTTTTTGCAACATTTCTGGGGACTTGATTAATGCTTTGCAAATATTTTCAGGAGAAAACAGCTTTATGCCTGATTGGCTTGAAGCTAAGCTGGTTGCCATGATGGTCTTACTGGCTGTGGATGTGGAAGAAATGAAGACTCGATGTAGGTAAGTGCTTCTACACTTGAAAATAAAGCTTAAAAACAAACACTAATCAGATTTTGGGGTGTTTTCAGATTTTAATGAATGATCTAGAATATTAAAAAAGAACTAGAACAATGGGAGCATATAAAGAGAAGTTTTAAATTAGCAAGAAATTAAGGGCATAGTAAAGGTAAGTAAAATTGTTAAATATAGACGATTAAAATGTTGTCTACAGTAATTACTAGTTATGGTAGAAGAAAATGTTCCTACCATAGGATTGGGTAAGAAATTAACTGAGTTTGACCATTTTGCAAAGTGTATAATTAGAAAACAATTGGCTGTAGATAAAACAATTTCATTTGTATATTGAGAAAATGAAAAGATCAATTATAATTGTTGCCAAAAGCAGCTTCATGTGCTACACTATTGTATGATACATTCCCTGTTTCCCCGAAAATAAGACAGTGTCTTATATTAATTTTTGCTCCCAAAGATGTGCTAGGTCTTATTTTCAGGGGATATCTTATTTTTCCATGAAGAAGAATACGGTACACATTTATTAAAAGAGACTTCACACTTCCTGTCTGCTTGGCTGCGCTGCGGCCAACAGTGAGCTGCGCTGTGGTGCCCACCTTTACGGTCCCAGTCCAGAGTCCCAGAGTTATGGTAGCTTCGGGGAAGTCTTATTTGGGGGGGTGATGCCTTATATTTCAGCGAGAGGGAAAACTGTAAGTAGGTCTTATTTTCGGGGGATGTCTTACTTTCGGGAAAACGGTAGTTAATTTGATTTATATCACTTTTCCTGTTTTCATACTAAAGTTGGCTGTCTAGGTTTTAATAAGTAATTTATGTTTCTTAGTATTTTTATTTAACATGTCTTATTTCCTGGACTAGTATACTATTTATTTTTGTATCATAGAAGTAGGTAGTTATAATACTCTCAGCATTTAATTTTCTTTCAAATAAAATTGATTATAGGGTTTTTTTAATAGTTGTATTTAAAGGTTGATTATGATGTCCTCTCTGTTTTCTGATCTCATGAATTGCTAACTCACTGAGAATGTACAGGCTGAAAGATCAGCCTTGATAACCTGCTAAATGTTTTCATCATCCATAAGAGTAATTCTGTCTAATTGAATCACTTAGCCAATTCAATAAATTTTACATAGAAAATGATTTTCTTTTTGCTTTTGAAATGTTTGATTTGGGCATGTCTTTCAATGCCTAGTGAAAAACGGAAAATACAGAATGTATTAAGGATATTCTTAGATCCTCTTCTGGATGCCCTTATGAAGTTTAGTACAAATGCCTACATGCCCTTGCTGAAAACTGACAGATGCCTCCAGTTGCTGTTGAAGTTACTGCATACTTGCTTGTTGAGAGATTCCAGTACCCAAGATGGTGAGGATAAGTAGTTTCTGTTGGTTTCCTACTTGGTACATCATTGATATTTCAAATGAGAGAATATTTCTGACTTTTTAAAATAAAACAGAGGTCAGCAAATTTTTATTGTCTTCTTGTAATGGTGTTCCCCAAGGGGCTCGAGATAGAGTGGTTGTACATGCAAAAAAACAGCAATGGAGGGTCTTATCTGACTTCCTTTGGCTTCTCTATTGCCATGAGGTAGAGGTCAGACAAGCCTCCATGGTCAATCCTTCTTTACCTATAATGATACCAACCCATATTTTCCCCACACCACTCTACACCTGTGCTGGGTTCTATAATTTGTTGCAATGGCCACACAAAACTCACAAAAAATACTGAGAATTAAGGGGATTTATTTGGGAAGGATGCAGTCATTGGTTGTCTCAGTCAACAACCAACTCTGACTCTTAACTCTCTTAACTCTCCCAACTCTCCACAACTCTCTCAACTCTCCACAACTCTCTCAACTCTCCACAACTCTCTCAACTCTCCACAACTCTCTCAACTCTCAACTCTTAACAACTCTTAACTCTTAACTCTAACTCTCCAGTTCTCAGCCTCTCAGCCACGTGGTAGGTGAGCCACGTCTCTTTCTAGGTTTTTGTCTCAGCCAAGTAGTAGTCCCTTTGGCCTTTGCCTCCATGAGCCAGAAGCTAGCCCACCCACCACTTCCATATTCTTGGACCAAATAACAAGAAGGCCGTTTCGACGCTACTGCTCTGGGTCTCTGTGCCACAGTCTGTGATGCATCTGGTCTTGGAGCCTCTACCACTTCAGACAGGGATCTTGAACAACCTCTTCCAGAGTTCTCAGGGTTTCTCTCTTCTCTATCATTGCTTCAAAGAAGGCCTCGTCCTTCTAGCCAGCAGGTGATCATGAAAACTGACTAATCCCCTCTTAGTGTTGCACATGCCCTACTTGCATAGTCCCACCCCTTCATTTGGTGGGAGTTCCAGAGATTTGGATAGAAGAGCCATATTTAGAAATTCATCACATTACCCTCTGTCTTCATGGAGCTGACATGCCTAGTAGCTTGTGCTCATTGGTTAGCAGAGATTTTAGAACCTGATTTCTTTTTAACTTTAAACTTTTTCATTGATTTCTAAACTACGAAAAATTATATGCTTAATTGGGATTCAATTTTGTCACTGTGCTAGATGTTGCAGAAAGTAAGCTTATGCATGAAAATGACAGTAATTTTTATAATTTATTTTTAAATGTGTTAGTCTCTGAAAACATTTTAGATAGAAAATATAGTGGTAACAGAAGCATTAAATTCTTTCATCTTTTCTAAAATTAAAATATGTGTAAAACACAATTGATGTATGTATGGATTGTGATAAGAGTTGTGTGAGTCCCTAATAAAATGATTGAAAAACAACAACAAAAAGATACGTGTAAAACAGCAACTAAAGACATGGGCGTTACAGGTGAGCATGCTGATGGTTGAGCCTGAATTCCTAATCCTCCCTGACCAGTTTCATTTGGAATTTTAGAAATTTGTGATATAAAAATTCCAAAGATGCATTAATATTAGGTTAAATCTGAAAAATATATTGATATGGTTAGACTTCAATAAATGTTTATAAAATACTAAAAGTAGTTTCCTTTCCAAATTGTGGATTTTTTAATGTTGGTAACAGAAACAAAAATGCTGTAAACCTTACAATATTTGTTAGGTTGTAATTGTAAACCTTACAATGATACAAAAGAACATATCATATTTATTTGGTGGAAAATAATTAGACAAACGCTTGTGATTCAATACCCAATCTAAGCACAAATTTATGTTAGTCCTCAATCACCTCCTTTTTAATATATAAATCACTTTATGGGGACTCTTATAGCTCTTATTACAATCCATATATCAGTTGTATCAAGCGCATTTTTATATTTGTTGCCATCATTTTCAAAACATTTTCTTTCTACTTGAGCCCTTGGTATCAGCTCTTCTTTTTTCCCCTCGATCCCCCACCCACCCTCATGATCCCTTAATAATTTATAAATTATTATTTTTATATCTTATACTGTCCACTGTCTCCCTTAACTCATGCTTCTATTGTGTGTGTCCCTGACGGTGGAGGTGGGGTAAATACGTCCATCATTGCGATCAGTTGCACCTTGCTCCCATTCTCCCCAACCTTCCTCCCAGCCTCATGATATCACCATTCCCACTCCTGTTCCTGAGGGGTTATCTGTCCTGGATTCCATGTGTCGAGAGCTCTTATCTGTCCCAGTGTACATGCTCTGGTCTAGCTAGTTTTTGTAACTTAGAATTGAGAAGGAAGCATTAAAGAACTAGAGGAATATTGTGTTTTTTGTCGGTGTTATACTGCACCCTGGCTGACTCATCCCTATCTTGCTTTGTGAGGGGATGTCCAATTGTCTACAAATGGACTTTGGGTCTCCACTCCAGCCCCCCTCTTTCCCATCGATATGATTGTTTTGGGTTTTCTGATGCCTGATACTTGATCCTGTTGACACCTCATGATCACACAGGCTGGTGTGCTTCTTCCATGTGGGTTTTGTTGCTTCGCTAGATGGCGGCTTGTTTATCTTCAAGCCTTTAAGATCCCAGACACTATACCTTTTGATATCGGCACCATCAGCTTTCTTCACCACATTTGTTTATGCACCCATTTTGTCTTCAGTGATCATGTTTAGAAAGTGAGCATCACAGAATCCCAGGTTGTTAGAACAAAGTATTCTTGCATTGAGGGAGTGCTTGAGTAGAGGCCCAATGTCCTTCTACCTTAATACTTAACATATAAATATATGTACATAGATCTATAGCTCTTATCATTTTTATAATATATTTACATATATATGTGCCTGTATTTAGACCTCTGTAAATGCCCTTTTCCTCCTAGTTCTTTACTCTATTTCCTTTTACTTTCTCATCCCATTTTCATGTTTGGCATTCATTCAGGTTTTAGTAATTCCTCTTAGCTACATTGCCTTTGATCAAGCCCCAGCAGGCATCCTATGCCCTCTTCACCATTGATTTTAGATCCCTTGTTCTCTTGTCCCTGGGTTTTTTGGCTCCCCCTTTCCTCTCCCTCTCCCATATCTCTCCCCCCATCCCTTCCTGGAACCTTCAGTCCTGTTGTTTTCTCCTCAGGATTGTTTACCCTGCCTATCTTATATAGATAGACCCCCCAAGAAGCATGTAAATAGTTCAGGTCTGTCTGCTGACCCTTACAAATATTTTCTGATGAAGTCTGATGAGGTGCCAAGCCCTGCCCTCCAAGTCTGGTCTTTTTTTTTTTTTTTGAGATACCTCCGGGACTTTGTTGCTTTGCTCCCCTTGCTGCTGTTGTGCTCCCTTCATGGTTCGCCCCAGTGTGGGTGGGTTCCGGCCAGGCACAATTCCTGCACTGTCTCCCTTGCTGTCACCCGTAGCGCTATGGATCAGTGAGTGAGGGGCTGTCGTGTCTTGTGGTGGGTCTGGCCGTATGGCCCTGTCTGTGCATTGGCTGCTCCAAGCGTGAATGTCATGGTGGGTGGGGGTGGGTAGGTGGAAAGAGCTTGGTGGGCCAGGATGCGGCCCACCCTCCCTCTTTTTCCCCTCTTAGTTTGCTCACATGTTCTGGGCAGACCTGCCCCCTCCCCCCAGGCTGTATCTTCAGTGCTGTCCTCTGTCGTGCATTCTTCTGAGAAAGGGGTTGATATAGCTGAATTCCTTTTGCCTCTTAATTTTGATCTTTTTTACTTTTATCTTTATCATTTCCACGTATTTCAAAAATTTATTTTGTTATGTCTGTAGATGTCTAAACTGGGTATTGCTTGGTTTTCTTTTTAAGCTTTCTAAAAGTGTCACTTTATGGTAAGCAGTCTTCTGTAAACTTTCCCAGTTTACATGTTTCTAATATTCATTGATGTCCTTATTTTCCTGGTTGTATATATAATCTGCCATTGTAAAATGCTACATTTTCTACTTTCTCCCAATGCTAAGTGCTTGGGCTATATCCCATTTTTTTGTAACTATGAAAAAACCTTTTCTCTATCTTCCTAGAATCCTATATGAGAGTTGTCCAGGGTAGTACCCAGGGATAAAATTGAAGGAGCCTTGGTGATGTAGTGGTTACAAGTTGGGCTGCCATATGCATGCTTGGCAGTTCCCCAGCAACTCCATGGGAGAAAGACTGAGCTTTCTACTCCTATAAACAGAGTCTCAGAAACCAACAGGGGCTCTCCGTGAGACAGCCTTGACTATGGCAGCGAGTTTTATAAGGTAGGTGCAGGAAAACAGTGAAAAGATTTTCCAGGAGACATGCAGCTGACAGATTAAAATAAACATTGAGACTTGACCATTGCAATTAGCATTGTGAAAGTCAGTGGTGATCTTAACAGAATGGTTGCACTAGTATAGAGGGGCTCTTTAGGGATGTTTTGTATATAAGGAGAACAAAGAAATGGGGCAGTTATTGGTGGGGCAAGAGAAGCTTTTATCATTTTCCTCATAATGGAAAAAAATATCAGTCCTTATATGCTGGTGGAAATTATGCAATAAAGGGAAATTTACAAGATGTAGGAGGCATAGAGATTTTTCTGAGTAATGTATACAAAAAATGGGAACACATGAGACCCACGGTACATGTGGGTCTCAGACAAGAGCTAGAAGGCAATGCTGGGGTGTGGAGTTGCGAATAAAATAGAAGTTCTTCTATATTGTGAAAATAAAAAGGAATCATGATGGTAGTAATATCGGAAGTGAGGACATCTATTTTTGTCACTTAGTTTTCTGGTCTCCAAGCCTAAATTTAACTTGTAATCTTACATTTCTTTTAATCTAATGGGAAAGAATTCATCTGAGAATATTTCTTTATGCCATTGATATAAATTTGAAATGTAAATAAGTATACACAAATATAGGAGAAAGAAAAGGCAGAGAGAGTATTATGGAGTATAAAAGAGTAGTATTCTGTTAGACTCATTAGCTATAGGTTTAATTTTTTAATAATAACATTTTACTT